ATACATAGCCGCAAGCCGACCATAATTCTACATTTCCCAAAAAATAGTAGTACAGAGTCATAAGCACTACTGAAACACACTACTCTTTTGAATTACAATTTAACAGCGGCATAATGAAGTACGATGGTGACTCCGAGGCATGCAAACGTCACGCATGTATACTTTGAAGTCTCTCGCCCGCACAGATGCAACTCTCAACAACACAGTCAGAATACCTGGATTTGCATAAAATGTGCAGATGCGTAGCATGAGTACACCACAACATTACCCAGTAAGTATCAACTTAACCTCGCTAGAGTAGTGACGAGGCCAGTTCAAGACACCTACTAGACATTGAAACATGTTCAAGATATACATAAGCTTATAATGTAAAAAACATCAATGTAAGACCAATTTATTAATTTACAACCATTTTTTGTATTTATTTATTTTCTGATTTTATAAAATGCTAAAAAAAAAGACCTAACTATTTAACTCTTAAAATTATTTAAAACTTTATTTAAAGATAAGTGCAACAATTAACAATTAAAAGTGCAAAGAAACTATTTTTCGCAATTTTCTTTAAATTTTGTTCTAAAACTAATTAATACCTAATTAATACTAAAATTGTAAAATTAAATCCTAAATGCAAAAATGCATATTTTTGTGTTTTCATATGAATTAAAATGGATGAATAAAAATGCAACAATTATCAAAAGATGCCACCAAATTCACGAAAAATTAAAAAATACTAAAGAAATTGTTTTGTTTGAAATTTTGGAATTATTGCTTAGGGCAAAAATCCCGTGCTCACATACACTTCTTGGGTTTCCCTGACAGCAGTGCGAAGTCAACTGTCTACAGCTGGAAAGTGAACTGCCTGCACTGTACACGCAAACAGCGCAGCATAGTACAACAATCACTTCTCATTGACCAACCAAGTGATTACATCATTCAAGTGATGTCATCTATGTTGTATTAACAATAAATATTACAATAAAATATCACTTGAACACTTGAGAATTATTCAAGCACTCCAAGCGTCTGACAATCAAGCATTCAATTCTCAAGTGCATCAACAACAAAGTACAACACTACTACGGACCAGTTCCTACAGCAAGTCTCTTGTATGTCCTTAGATGAGTTGTAACTTTGTAATTGTTCTTCATTGTAATTCCTACTCTGCTTATCAAAAGATTTAATTAGGAACCCCTTATAGACCATAAACTTTCAGTGTTTGTGTCGTGACTAGAGTTAGTCATGAGTTGAAGTCTTTGTAATATGTGTATTGCAAAGTGGCTCGTAATAGGTGTATTACAAGTTAGTGAGAGATTAAGAGTTTAATTCCTAGATTGCATAGGTTGTAATCTAAAGTTTGCTCATAGTGAAGTTGAAATCCTACCAGTGTAGGTCGTGATTTTTTTATCCCCTTGAGCGGGGATTTTTCCACGTAAAAGTTCCATGTTCCATTTACTTACTGTTGCATTACCTTATCTGTGAAAACCTATATAGGACCTGGTCTCTATATAGTTTGGTGGACTCATATATTCTATTACAAGTTTTATCGGATTGCCAAATCTTACCTATGTCTATGTTATTCGATTTATAAGAAAACATGAATACACAAGGCAAAATAGAAATTCTTTTTACAAAATTTCAAAAAAAATCAAGAATTACAGCAAAAAGAGAGGAGAGGGAAGACTTCTGTCATATTGATTGGCGGTGTTTAACTAATATCAAGGGAAGAAGAAGCGGGAGGAGGAGGAGGAAGGAGAAGGAAACACAACATTAATACCACTAGAGCTTGGAGGAAAAGTAAATACAATTGGAAATATACATAAACTATCAGGACATTAGTACAAACACAAAATTAATTGTTTCTCTATTAGGATTAAAATCTTTCCAAATTGAAGACCACACACTCAAGGGATCTGTTCCCTATCTTAAAGTCAATTACAATCACACCCTACTTAAAGCAACATTTGTATAAGGAAAATTGTTACAATTTGTAATAAAATACATTCAGATTGTACAGCAAAAAAGGCAGTTTGATACACAATGCATCCCGCATTCACGCAAGATTCAGAAAAAGGCCGCACCCAAGGGGTGCGATGCAGACAGCCTAACCTAATGCAAGCATTACTGGCTGCTTGCACGGCTCGAACCCGTGATCTATAAGTCACACATTCTCGAGTCACTGGACCTGAGCTGGTAGTGGTTCAATACAAAGATCATGAATCCAAATCCGTTAAGTTATATATTCCAAAATGCACACATTGTTGGTACAGAGTAAGTAAGAGATCGAAATTGAGGAAGCAATCTGCTATTTCAACTGCTCAAAGCCTCAGTGTAAGATCTGGTGTCAACTCATCTTTTTCAACAGATGGAGTCCATTCTAAAGAAGTCATATTTGAACATCCAGCAAAAGCAAAAGTAGGATGATGAGAGACATCAGTGTTAGTAACTTGGCGAAAACTACCAGGCCATAATAATTGATCAGCCTCGTCGATATCCTCTACGTATAATGGCGGACTCTGTTGCTGTCCATATTCAAATCTCGCGCTTGCCCTGAAATCAAGTGATCTCATTGTTGGTGGAAACCCGTGGGGGTGCACTGAAGAATGCGCTTTGATTCCTAAGGACCGCGCACTAGATACGTGCAATGGCAGAGCAGCCAAATTAGCATACCTTTGATCCGAAAAGATTCCCATTCTCATAGCTTGTTTTGCTAACGTTCTTTCTCGTTTATGTGCATTCTGATGACCGCCAAGAGCCTGTGAACTGTAGAATTTACGCTTGCAGAAATTGCAAGTGAAAACTCTTCTAACTGCTTCTCCTCCTGAATTTTGTGTTGTGGGTTCGTTGCTGCTTTCACACGTGCTGGATACTGAAAATCCTATCGAATCTTGGCTGGCTAATTCATCGGTACTAGATTTAAAGCTGAGAGACAAGTCAAGTGACAGATGTTCTGAACTTAATTGAGAAAACTCAATGTTAGACGCGACCTGACTAGTGATATCAGAATCAATTCCAGATGAGGCTTGTACTTCAATGTCAAATATTGATGTTTCCATCTTTGGAAAAACTAATTTACTGAATTTGGTGAACAATATCAAGAACTAACCAAAACCAATGGACTACATCTGCATTATAAACATCACCCTGTACGTGACAAGAAAAAAGGGGTCGACTGAGTATATTATATTATACTGTAACATAAACATATCAGTTTGAGAAAGAAAATCCAATCAATGCTACAAACAAATCTTGAAAAATACCATATTGGGGGTCATTCTTAGTAGTCATATACAAACTTCACAATATTGCAGACAGCAGCAGCAACAACAACAACAACAACAATAACAATCAATTTACGCAGCCTTACCCCTACCCTGGAAGGGAAGAGATGCTGTTTCCGATAGACCCTCGGCAATATTGCAGACATCTGAAACTCAATTTAGTGCCAAAAACATCTTTGTAACCTTTGCCTAGGACAATCAAAACTCCCAAATTTATAAGTATCACTTCACTGACAACGATTAGAGAGACACACGCGCAATACTGGATGAGAATCATGGTAGTCATTACTCAACAATCAATATGGCACAGAATTAGTTTGTTAAGACCAAACTGTAACTTGATCTCACTACACATATTCACCATAATTTCAGAAAACTACCAATATACTAAAATTGAATATAAGTGGTTTAACTTTTATGCATATATTTGACATTTTGGAAACAGCATTCATTCTTCATTGAGTCCAGTACTTGTTTATCCTAGTGATGGATGAAATTAGAAATAGCATACATGGTAAGGTTTCATAGTGCGTGCTATATATGTTTAGATAATATCGTTTTAATTGACGATTAGCAAGGGAATTAACCAAAAGCATGAACTATGTGGAAGCACTCCAAAAAGTAAGGATTAAAACTAAGTAGAAATATGATGTATGTAAGAACAATGATGATGAAGTGAGATTAGACAAGATTATAGTTCCTAAATATAGACGATTAATCAAATACTTTCGGCTCAATCTTGCAACAAAATGATATAACAAATCAAGATGTAACATGTCGAATTAAATTAAATAGGGTGCACTAAGCTCCCGCTATGCGCGGGGTCCGGAAAAGGGCAGGACCACAAGGGTCTATTGTACGCAGCCTTACCCTGCATTTCTGCAAGAGGCTGTTTCCACGGCTTGAACCCGTGGACTAACATTGACTAACATCTATATTTTTCTAATTTCTTCTGAACACTAAATCCATGATCTGTGCAAACAAAGCTCATCTGATCACCCTTGGACAATTAGCTAAGTATAAAAATAAGACATTTGAGAGATTCGACATAGTCTCGTACCGGGTGTTTATACGACCTAATAAATACACGACACATGTCTTTACAAATAATATTTACATTCTCATACATATATAAGGTAGAATGGTGGAACAGAAAGCTCATCTAGCAATCAAGAAAGCAATTTATTTATGACTCTCAGTGAAATTGAAAGCCTAAGAAAAATAAGAACAACTGAATTCCAGTTGCAAAAATGAGACAAGATAATAAGTTAGGAAGTTTGTCTTTTTTAATTTTATAATTTACTCATATCTTGGACTTAAAATCTAATTATACTCGAAATTAAGAACATATTGTATGACTTTCAATTTGCAACGTACAAGACATATATATTCTTGCACAAAATCTAGTCTCTCTCTCTCTCTCTCTCTCTCTCTCTCTCTCTCTCTCTCTCTCTCAAGCTGAATATATAGATTGTATTGTTATGATCAAAGTTCAAGATTGAAGAAATCAGAAAAGAAATAAAAAAGCAACATAAAACAGTCGTTGAAACTTTTCATCAAGTAAAGAGAATTGCATAGGATACAGGTTTTAATTTCTTTTATGAACTTAACCTAGGCACGTGGTATTTATTTGAAGAAATTAAAAGAGAGACTATTCCTTCTAATAACAAAAACACTTCAAGATTTAAAACACAAGAATGAATAAGCATATATAAGCTAGTAGATATTTTGTTTCACCAAAAAAATAAATAAATTAAAAGACAAAACCAACAACAAACACAAAAAGTTTCAGTTGAAACATCCCATATAGGATCAATTCATGATAATAAGAAGGAAAAAACTGAGAGCTGAAAACAACAAATTAAAATATACAAGAACAAAATAACATACCTGTATTAGCATACATCTTCTTGAGGAAGAGGGAAGTTGTTGTTGTTAAGTGGTACCAATAGTACTTTTCTATCAAAAGGACAAAATATGGTGCAGTATCAAAATAGGCCCACTAAAGTATATAAGAAAAAAGGAACTTTAGGAGTGGGGATTGAGGTGTTCTTCATGTTTAATTATGAGAAACCCAAGGTCAGTTTGTTTGGTTGGTTT